AAAAACTCCCTGAATTTTGTAGAGAGAGGTTTTGTAGCAATTCTTCAGGTTGGATTTGACCTAAGAACCCGTGTTTCACATTATACCCCACCTGACCAGCTAGGTGCACGGAGGCTAAATAAAGCATGACAGTCATGTATGTTTACCTTTGCCTGCTGATTTTGGAGCAAGTCATTGCAAATATCACTTGCCCAAATGGCTTGAATTTTCTAAAAACTCTTAGACAGTTATCTAGGTCATGAATAGAAAACTTGACAGAAATCTCCTACACATTTCATTCACTTTCAAAGTGGATAGCTGACTTGCTCCAATTACTGTGAGATTTAAGGCAAAAGGAATTCTTTTGACATGAATCTAGATAGTTAATCTCCATTTTTGTTTCCTGTTCCTTTTAGAGGCATGAAATATATATACATGTCATTCAATCAATAAATAAAAGGGTTTCTTTTCTTTTTGTCTTAAGAAATGAGAAGATAATACAGCATTTAATGCTTGTAAATGCCATTATTCTTTTGCATCATATTTAAATCACACATATGATAATCTTCTAAAATGTCAGCTATGGGATGTTCCTGTGTAAAAAGTTGTGATTATCTTTTGACTCTTTCAGACTCTTACTTTTGGTGATGTGGTTGCTGTTCGCCACTATGAGAAAGCATAGAAAGGTTCGTGATCTGGAGCTGGAGAAGCTCTACAATGTCTGTTTTTTCAAGTCTCAGTGCTATCCTGCTATGACAGCATGGCTGATCACACTAATTAGAAGGTTATCCTTGGTGTGGAGGTGGAAAAAGGTGATTTGAAAACTTGTTTTAAAAACTTGTTCCTTTAAGCAACTAGTTCCTTTAAGCAACTAGCCCAATTTTGATCTGCAAACTTGTCATGTTTTGTAGTTTGCATTTTAAGCTACATTTTTAAAATTAAGAAGTGAATGCATTTTATAATTTCTATTGGAATGTAAATCAATTTGGAATAAAAATCTTATACCCGTGAGAAATTGTGTTGTTGTTTATAACTTCACTAATCTAGCTGGGAATTGTATATTATTAGAGTTTTAAATAAAATAGCCTTTCTCTGGCATAAAGTGAGGCTGGAAAAGTTAGCACTTTGTTTAAAATGCTAATTTAAAAAAATAAGCAGAAGCCTAAGGAAATGTGAATAGGCCATAGTTTTGGTTGAAACTTCCATAGAGAATATGTGATGATTAAATTCATTGGGCTGGGATGCAAAGAAGCATTATCATGGGGTTGAGTTCAACAAATGACCTCTTGCAATTAGAAACAGGCAGCCTAAAGAAGCAAAATGATATACATGAAAATGT